GGCTAGACCTAGCATCTGTATCTCAAGGACAAATGGAGGTCTACATTTATGTTTATTTCTCTATCTATATATAGCCTATTTGGTTCTTCTAAGAATTTTAAGAGATGTTTATGTGTCTAAGGTGAAATTATATATTTATAGTAAACATATAATGTAATAAATTACAACCTTTTGACTGTTTAATTACTGATTCGATAGTCCTTGAGGTTTAGCTGAATAAGCTTCAGACTTGGAGTCAGAAAGTTTGAGTTGGACTCCTCAGCTGGGAAAACCAAGTTAAGCCAGAATTTCTGGCTGCTCAGCATTGAAATCTACAAGTGGATACGCAGTTGAAGAACGGAAAACTGTGAAAACAAGGGATGCTGATGTATCATGCTTATATGATTCATACTGATCTAATTCTATAATGTTACTCACTACTTAAACTGTGACATATATTTTCAACTACACGTATGAAATGAGCCTAAGAAAGGCACATGCTTTTAAAAATTAACTGATTTTGGGGCGGGGATATAGCTCAACAGGCATAAATGCCTGCCTGTCAACCCCAAGTCCTGAGTTCGATTCCTAGTACCAGAAAAGAAAATAACTGCTTCATCGATCAGAAGACAGAGTCCAGAAATAGATACAAATGACATGGTCATAAATAAGGACTATTCCATAAATAATTTAGGTAGCATTGACTAGTTAACTCAAAATAAGAACCAATCTCTACCTCATTTGTCATCTAAAGGAAATTTAAGGTGAGTTCAAATGAAATGGAAGGAATGATTTTATTTGCAAAATTCCTAGGGAAAAAGAACAGAATTAGAGGAGACCCTGAGATTTTGAAAAATAAACTAGGAGGCAAGAAACTTGCGTTAAGCAAAATATAAACCCAGAAGCTGTATCAGAAAGTCCTGGTAAGTCTGATAAATACCAATGAGATGATCAACAAGAAAGCAATAGATCTGGCAGTTTTCTTCAGTAATAATTCTTGATATACTGGGACAGTTGTGGAGTAATGAACATAAACCCACATCTATCTGTAAAATGGCCAAAATTTACATACAAGTGGTGTCAGAGACATGTAATTGTTTTTCACCACATAAAGATTTGTGCAGTCTTGTTAATGCAAGAAACAGCACTTAAAACACTGTTAGTATGATGTTCCTTTCTTTATCACCTACAGCAAAGAAAAAGTAACCCGAGAAGCGTCTTTGTTGGTTGGGTGATAGAGAAACTTAGTCTTTCAGAAAACATGGGAACAGAAATAGGCCCATCTTTAGAAAGCTGTGCATCAATCAAGATCTTTTTCTTCTTTTGATTTGGCATCAGAAGTTTTAAAAGATAGACATCCGTCCATTGAACTAGCAGTTTTACTGAGAAGGTCTGTCCTTTACATGTTGGTACAAAACTTGAGAGCATCTTCAGAGCTTATCATAGGGGACCTGTTGGGTGAATGTTGCTAACACACCCATCTAACGGAAAGCTTTGCAACTGCCTGAAATGACAAGGAAGGCTTTGGTGGTGTGGAAGATGTATTACTGTTATTACTGTTATTGTATTATAGTCCATGTCTGCAGTACATAATGTTCACACTCTGAGTGTAGCCTTGGTGCATGACCTGACACATTTTCATTCCTTTCCGCAGCCCTTCCCTCTCCATCAAGAGATGGAACATATATTTTAAGTGAAGAAAGTAACATACGAAAAAGTATATGGACAGTGTGGGTCTAGTCATGCAAAAGTGGGGATATATTCGTTGTTTTAACCAGTATTTTCCGGGAGCCCTAGGCATTGTGAACACAGGAGTGAGAAAAGTGTCAGATGCTCTCCTGATGTCCCGTTACAGTGGGCAGGAAAAGGTGACTCCTTAAGGCTGTATGTGCCAGGATAAAAATAAAGCTTGAGAAAGGGAGAGTCGTGAGGGAGGGGCTTTCTGGGCAGGGAACAGAGCAGCCCTGGGGGACAACAACATAGAAAAAGCCGAGCCAGGCCCAAGTTCTGGAATCCAGGACCAGATTAGTGATGAAGTCAGGCGGCCCTGGGGCCACTGGGAAGTGGGTTAGGGAAACTTCAAGTCTAACCCTGGAGCTGCCTCCCTGCGTCTCACCAGGGCTTCTTGGAAGAAGGAATCAAAGAGAAACATGCTCGGCAGTGCTCTTTACATCTGCTGTGTCTGGGGGAACTAATTAGCAGAGTGGTAGACAAAACCACTGTGTCTGTGTCCTCAGGTCACCCTGCTTAGCTGGGCTCCCCTAAGATCAAGAGTGAATACTAACCATCTGTTTAATAGAACTTTGGGCACCCTGGCTGGGCCAGCCCACCCTGTGGGATGCACAGACTTCACTCTAGTGGGCTGGGGTCCTGCTGACTTTGTCTCTTTTGTCTCCCAGGCAACTGAGCAGTTTCGTCAGCTACACCTTCACTGTGCGATGACCTCTTCCTGTTCTCATTGACTTTACTGAAGTGGGAGACTAAATATAGGCGCCGCTATCTCACCAGGTCATTCCAAATCCTAGCCCTGCTATCACCAGCAGCCAGACAGATTCTGAAGCGCAGAGCAGAGCGGGGCTGGACGGAGCCAGAGACAAAGAGATTTCCAAGGGCTTTCCTGCAGAATCAGTCAGACGCTGAAGTCAGACAGTGTACCATCCCAAGGCACAAGTGCAGCTTTAAGAAAGTTAGAGAAGTGAAAGGCACGTGTGTGGCATGTGGGAGAGACCGTACGAGGGATTTACAAAGACATAAACAGTCACCCTGTGACTCCAGCACTGGGAACTCGGGAGCCCACAGGCCCAAGTAGAGGCAGAAGTAGATGAGGGCTCAGTGGGTGGGGACCCGAGGAGTGGCCGCTGCTTGGCTTCTGTATGAGACTGTCCAGTTAAAATGGGCACTCCAGGGTTTCATTTGGGATATTTCAATGATACTTGTGCACTGTTCCAACGGACTTTAGTGCTTCTGATCACTTTCTTACTCTTTTCCATGCACCGCCTTCCTTCCCTTAGTTTAGTCTTGGAGGTAGTCTTAGAGCAAGCCATGAACATATTCAGTAGACTTACAGAGGTGAGGGATGATTTCCATCCTTCTTTCAAAAAATAAAGGCATTTTCCTCTGGATGAAGCATGGCACCAAGAGTTAGACTTTTGAGTGTAGTCTTGGGCAGATTAGGAGGCGGGAGATGGGTTCCTCGCCAGGCTCACACATTTTCCTTCTGGTTTTGTTGCGATATGATATTCAGCCCTCTGGACACCAATGAATATCAGGCATTACATGGGTAAACGCCGGGCGGCTCCGAAGTAATCTCAGTATGTTTCCCTCACCCGTGTCAGCAGGGGGGGCACCTTACATTGCACGAGGAGGGGTAGTCATGCACTTAGCACCGTGCTGCTCTTCCAGAGTCTGCCCTAACGTGGCACCACTCAGACACTGGGAATTAGTAAGTTGAGTAAGTTAGTAGCTCTGCCTTCCAGAAGCTATTGTTTGACAGAGGAGATGAAACATGATTGCACACAACACTTCTAAGTATAGAGCAATTTATTATAATCATGAAGTTGTATACTGTTGTTATAGTGGTTCACTAAGGCTGTAATACAGAACTTCAAATGTTTTCTTTTTTATTATTAAGATATGAAGCCAGAATTAAAACACCTGTAGAAAGCCTGAATGAGTAATCTTAATAATGAATACTGAGAACTAAACACACTGGATTCCTCTGAGAGAGATCTATATCTATATCTATATCTATATCTATATCTATCTATCTATCTATCTATCTATCTATCTATCTATCTATCTACCTATCTATCTATGCATTATGTTTATCAGTTCCTCTAGTCACTTCAGTAATACACACTTGCAGTATCAAATAGCTACCGAAGATGATGCTTAGAGAGGAAGCAGGATGTATCCAAAAGCCAAGAGTCTAAGTGGAGGATATAGAACTGAATTCAGGGTTGTTTGAAAGTGGAGATTAAAATTAACTCTAAAAGTTTTCAGAAAAAAAGAAAAAGAAGGCAGAGGAGACTAATTTTGCTTGAAGAAAAGTAGGAAATTATTGCTCACCTGGATTCAGTTAGTACTTATGGACTGTGTTACTTAATTGTTTATGATATAACATAGGCTTTCATCTTGGTTATGAAATTGATAAGTATATTTTTCTAAAATATTGTAATGTCAGTAAGATATAGGTAAAATATAAAGCTATAAACCATGATGACTTACTGGAAAGTTCAGAAATGTCAAAAATCCAGAGAGTCAAAAATGATAAGAAATCCAGAAATGTCAAAAATTATGACTTCCCACTTAGGATTTAAAATAATCTAATAGCATGTATCACTGACTAAATAATAAATAACACGTGTGACTCTCTTGTTTTATTTAGGCCTACCCAATGTATTCTTTTCTTTGGGAGTTACCAGTTGAGCTATAGACAGAAAATGTGAGATATGGAGTATATTGCATTTAAAATTGCTCTGTAAGGAATACCTAGAGTTACGGATTTTTATAATTTTGTTTTTGGATGCTTCCCTAGAATGAAATCATCAATTTTTACAGAGAAGAGGTTCTTTGGTGTACTGGAGTACAGGGTCTCATGGCAGGATGTGTAAACCACATGGCACAGGTAAACCACAGCTGTCCACCCTGTGGCCAGGGAACAGAGGAGGGGGCACCGGGCACCAGGGTCCTACAGCTCTGGGTAAACGCATAGGAACTCACCCAGGCCACATCTCATAAAGTCTGCTTGGCCTCCCAGTAGCCCCAGTCTCAGGACTAAAGTATAACACCTGGGCCTTAGGACAACTTTTAAGGTCCAAACTATAGTAACAATAAAAGAATGGACAATAAAAGAATCTATCAGCTCAGATGAAGGAAAGCTCCAAGAGATGGCCCCTTTGGCTTGAGGATTTAAACCTTGTCATCCCTGGTTCATTTTCAGCTTGATTCCAGAGCCGTCTCATCCACATATGGATTCAAGACAGCTACAGTGGTTTTTTTTTTTTTTTTTTAGAAATTTTTTTTTATCGGTTCCGGGGATCGAACTCATGATCGCCTGCTTGCAAGGCAGGTGCTTATGCCACTGAACTAAATCCCCAGCCCCTAGACAGCTACAGTAGTTTTAAGAAGGCATCTTATCGTGATAGTATCCAGCGGACAAAAGTGGCCACCTCTCTCTTTGAGCTCCTAAGTTGAATAAACCTGTTTCAGCAGCCTCCCACCCTCAGCTGAGAACAGAGATTGATTCCTGTTTCATTGACCAAAGTTCCATAGCCACCACCATTCCAAAAGCAATCACTGGCAAAAAGAATGAGACCAGTGTAACTGATTTAGCATATCAGGATCATCCTCCTGCCCTGGGGTATGACCCAGATTTCTCTAAGCTATATAGCTTTACTCAGAGGGCAGATACTAGAATGGAACTGTTGGGTTTTTTTGTTTTTGTTTTTTGTTTTAGAAAGGAGAAAGAGGAATGGCTGTATTTTTTGGTACCAGGGATTGAACTCATGACTTAGTGCTTGCCAGGATTTAGGTGAGCTAAATCCCCGGCAGAAATACCTATTTGGAAACCAACCAATAATGATTTTTATAGACCAGTCCTCAAGGTAGCAGAGAGAGACCAAATAACCTACCTTTGAAAAGATTTGCGCTTTGATTTCTAGATGGTCCCTTTGTTAGTCAGCTCTGCATAACCACGGAAAATACCTGAGGTGCCAGCTCAGAAAGAGACAGGATAGCTTTAGCCCCAGTTTGGAGGTTCCAATGTGTGATTGATTATGGCTTGTGGCAAGGCAGTATGTCACGCTGGAAACATATGGCAGAGCCAGTGCTCAGCTCAAGAGTGCCAGGAAGCACAAAGAGATCAGGGAAGAGAGAGACCAGTGTCCTCTAGTCCCTTCAAGGACACGCCCTCCCTTGCCTATGACCTCCAGGAGTCCCTGCATCTTAAACAATTTCCTCTACCTTCCCATAGTGCTCAGCTGAAGACCAAGCCTTTAAGATCTGGCCATTTAGGGACATTTAAGACGCAAACCCAAGTGGTCTCCAACACTGGAGCTGCTTTTCCTCCTCATTAAAGCAGCCCTGGAAGGGGACCACTGTGAGACTTGGATTGCTAAATGTCACACAGTGAATTACAGACTAAAGTCAGAACAGGATTTCTTGGCAGTCCAGGCAGGCTACTTTCCTTCACCATTTACTCTGGAGAGTTGGGAACTGTTGGAACTGCTTTCAAACTCATGGCAAGCACTGGCCACTTTTGTAATTAACAGCTCTTTAGAATACTCTCCTTAGGTTTGCTCAGCCAGCTGGAAACAGGCAGAGCCCAAACTCTGAAAAGCCCCGCTGAGGCCTTGTTCTCTGCTTTGATATCATGTGCCTTGTTGGATGTAGATTTCTTCTATTCTGCATCTTTGCTGTTGCTTCTTCGTCTTCATCTTCTCTTGTTGTCTCCACAGCCAGCTTCTTATTGCTAAAGGTACCTTTTTCCCTTTGCTTTTGTTTTTTTTTCCCACCAGATCCTCACTGTCAGTGGCTCAGGCTGTGGCCTCCAGGATTATTCCTCCAGCCTGCCCCATTGTGGCTTTGATACATATCCCTATTGTTGTGTGTCCCCAAAGTAGATTCTGGGGTTATTTTGGTAACTACTGCCTTGGGTGAGATTCAAGCTAATAATGAGAGGGTTGAGATCACTTCTCCTACTACAAGTTTCCTCCTGTTTTTACATTCCGAGAAGTTGCTACTCCTGCTTTTCCTACACCAGATGCGTGAAGTGGCGTGATATGTGATCGGCTCCGAGGCTGAATGCTCGTGATTTACTTCGGTTTTCTTTATTCTCAGGACAAGATGTTGGTACCTATCAGAAGCATCATGTGGATCTGCTCCACCTTCGTGGTAACCCAGGCACTGCCTGCAGGTGAGTGTGGAAACAAGTTCTTTCTTGCTGGCTGACCTCACAGTTTCAGTATTGGGGGTTGGAAGAGCAGTGTGGTCGCCTACAATAAAGGACTGACTTTCTATCATCTACTCAGTGCAGTAAATTCTTAGTTAAAATGTTATAAGATTGAAAGCAGTGGTTTTAAACCAACCAAAATAAGGTAAGGAGCAGAATGCTGGAGTTCTCAGTGGGGTTCCATCACATGCAGATTCCCCTTTAACTCATGAATGGCATGGGAGATGTTTAAAAGTGCTGCCTTCTCCAATACCACTTCATAAAGACTGTTTCTTATTCTAAAAAGATTATTAAACACTCAGGAGGTTAAGTTTTGAAGAGTTATGAATACAAAGAGAAGGTTGACAGCTAGGATTTGCACTCATCCCTACTCTTTTCTTTGTTTAAAAGTAACTTTGCCAATACACAAGCATCGCTTTTCTTAGCTTTAAGAAAAGGTAATAGTTGCCAGGCAAGGTGGCACACGCCTACAATTCCAGAGCTTGGGAGGCCGAGGCAGGATGATTGCTGTGAGTTCAAGGCCAGCCTGGGCTGTGTAGTAAGCTACAGACAGCCTGAACTACAGAGTGAAAAAAAAAATTAGAAAAGCTGGTGGTGATGCTTCTCAGATTCCAAGCTCATCATTTAATGTGTTGAAGAGACACCCCCGAAACTCTGAAGGAAGACGCTTTGTTGGACTTGACTGGCTGCTTCTACCCAGTGCGCCTCTTCCAACCCTCTTTCCTTTTCTCCCTTCCCCCACACCTTGCTTCTGGCTTTCCGAGGCCATTGGCACATACATAGGCTGTTATCCTGGCTTTTCCTATTTGATTTCTTTCACTTGCTACTTTTTCTCTTCTCTACTGTTTTGTTGTAATTTTTTTTTTTTTTTGTACCGGGGATCGAACTCGCACTACGACCTTGTGCTTGCCAAGCAGGCACTTATATCACTGAGCTAAATCCCCAGCCCCAGTGTAACTCTTTCTTCAAGACTCAAGGTTAAACATCACTCGATCTGCTCATATACCTGGACCCCCATCCACCAGCCCATCTATCTGTCCATCCATCCACCTGTCCATCTATCTGTGCCTCCATCCACCCTTCTAACTGTTCATCCACCCATCCGTCTATCCACCAGTCCATCTATGTGTCTGTCCATCTACCCGTCCATCTATCCGTCCATCTAACCGTCCATCTATCTATCTACCCATCCATTCATATTTCTGTCTGTCCATCCACTCATCCATCTGTTCATCCACTAGTCCATCTTTCTGTCCATCCGTCCACCCGTCCATCTGTCTGTGCTTCTATCCACCCTTCTATCTGTCCATTTACCCATCTGTCCACCCACCAGTTCATCTGTCAGTCCATACACCCATCCATCCACCTGTCCATCTATCTGTCCACCTACCCATCCATCTTTCTGTCTGTCCATTCACCCATCCATCTGTCCATCTGTCCACCAACCCATCTATCTGTCCATGCATCCACCCGTCCATCTATCTGTCCATGCATCCACGCATCCATCTATCTGTCCATCCATCCACCCCTCCATCTATCTGTCCATCCATCCACCAGCCCGTCTCTCTGTGCCTCCATCCACCCTTGTATCTGTCCATCCACTCATCCATCTGTCCATCCACCAGTCCATCTATCTGTCCACCCATCCACCCATCCATCTATCTGTCCATCCATACAGCCTCCCACTCATCCACTCATTTATCCCCAGCGACAGTATGTTTTGTGCACTTTCTTTGAGCCAGGTGTTCCACTGGGTGTCCAGGGGTTTATGAGTAGATGGGCCGTTCACACAGTGTCACAGCCTTCACTGCACCTAGTTCCCTGGTTACATGAGGCAGGGAGTGAACACATGACCAGTGCAGGTCCTGCTTTACTGGTGAATGTTAAGCAGAGCAAAATCACAGAGAATGACTGGGGCTGGAGGTACTGGTGATACCACCCTGAGAAGGCAAGGAGATGGATGGCCATTAATGGAAAAGACAGTAGTGGGCAAAAGTCTCTCCACTGACACGTAGACTTTTCCCTTAAAGGAAGGACTTACCTGTGCAAAACTTAGCAAAGCAATGCACACAGGTATAGTGTAGCTCCTTCAATGTTCTTAAAAACAATGATATGAGCCAATACCGAGTCACTTTTACCTATTGGGCTCTGTTCTTTGTAAATTCATGATCGCTACTAAGGACTGTAATTAATCTGAGGTTAATTTAAGAAGACTTTTACTTTTTCCTATGAAAGACAGAAATTGAAACTATAAAATCTATAAAATGTTTCCAAGTTCATGAGATACACCGCAGTAACTTGTTGAGTGGGTTTTTTTCTGTTTATTCCCTGGTGCCCAAGGGATCAATGACCAGAATTGGTGAACACCTGTCCCCCGCTTTATTGTAACACAGAAGTAGATCTTTGCTTTAGCGGTACTCATATGTTAGATTGCAAGCCATCCGCATGATGGATTACTCAGCATTGATCTCTTGTTTTATTATTCCTCGTGCAGTGAGACATGGAGCCAAGAAGGCAGGCCTAAAGGTGGGCAGAGAATGATACTCATTAAGGGAGTGATAAATCCCATTTTTGATCTGACACTTACTTGGCCAAGGTGTGTGTGTGTGTGTGTGTGACTTGGGCAGATGGAATCTACATCATCCTTGCTCTGCAGAATCCGCTGACTGAATGAAGTAACTGATTGCAAGAACTCTTTACAAGAGTTCTCTCCCTCACTGGGTTCATTTAGACTGGGGCCATCTGGTGGGAACAGAGAACATTTTTGTTAGAATTCATTTTATTACAGATATTGTCAGAATTCCAGACAACTTTCTGTAGGTAGCAGGTTGTTTAAAAACATGCATAGGTGATGCTGAATTTTTTTCAGATATTTGGATTTAGTGAGCTTACTTCTTACAACCCCATGATTTAAGACCCAAGATTTAATAAAACAAAAGATTTGACCACACAGCTTTTTGTTAATCTTATTGGTGAGGTTGGGTTCTATAGGAATATATAGATTTATATCCAACCAAAGCTTTTAATTAGAATAATAAGCAGTCCCTTAGGAAATTGCCTTTTGACATCATTGTGAAAACATTTCATTACAGGATGGCTGTTAGGGAATACACTGCGTTTCAGAAACCTCCCTGTGGGACAGACTCAGGGGAGCTGCACACTTGTCTCCTGCACCTAGAATTCTGAAAATAATTGAGCATTAAATGTTAAGATATTAGAAGGCACTTATTCTAAGCAATTTTATAAGGAGATGATAAAGTCTCACAATTTGTTATGATTAAAGTTGATGGTAAAGCTGTTTGTTTTTCCATTAAGAAATCAGTATTTTATTTATGCTTAAGACTCTACATTTCATTTGCAGTGACTAATTCTTCAGGAAGGAAGATGAAATTTCCCAGGACATATGATGAATATAAATTAGATAAGGTTTTTGGATTACAGGTTTCTCACCTCTACTTTTCTTCTCTCTCTCTTTCTTCTCTCCTCTCTTTCTCTCTGTCTTTTTAAGACAGGATTCATGGTTTCACAGTGCAGTTGAGGCTGGCCTGAAACTCACAGTGATCCTCCTGCCTCAGCCTCCTGAGTGTTGGAATTACAGGCATGCACCACCACACCTAGCCTCATCTCTTTTCTTAAAATCCTTATTTTTGATGAAAAAAAATTCAAGTTATCTGTGTTGTCATCATTTCTCTAAGTGGATACAAATTAAAAGAATATAAACCAGGCAGATTTTACTTTTAAGATGTCCCCTGCGGATTTTATGAAATTCTTAAAAATGTCATGAGATTAGATTTCAGTTCAGTTAGTAATTAAAGACTTAGAAAGTAGGATGAGTGTAGATACTGAAAGGGAACTAAAAGGAACATGCTTTCTGTGGTTCATTTAGGAGCAGAGGAAGAACACTGTAAGTACCAAAGCTAAAGGGTTTCTATCTTAGAAGAGGCGTGTATTCTGGTCAGATCTGTTCTTAGCCAGCTGGGAGCCAGTCCCTGCTCCTCTGTGGAGCATACTTAGTACAGAATGGAACCAGTTCTGCTCCAAGGATGAGCTTTAAGTTACAGACTTCACTGTCTAAGCCAAGAAAGGTAAAAAACCGAGATTATCACCTTGATATTACATTACCAAAGGGGAACAATTCCAGTAACATTTTAAGAAGTAACTTGCTACAGTTCATAGCACACCTCAGGGTCTTTTTTTGTTTAATTTTGCTCAGCACCTTAAATCTGGACAAGCTATATGTAGATCAATAAAACGATAAATGGCTGACAGCAGTGACCATTATACTTTTGGAACAGATTAGTGATTTCTATCCTCAATATAACCATCCTGCATTATTTTACATTTATTTATAGCATATATTTTATAGCTTAAGTCTTGTTCAGGTAAATGTTAGTGTTTAGCAATTTTTTTTTTTTTTTTTTTTTTTTTTTTTTTTTTGCTAAGGAGCATACTATCTACATGCTATCTTTCTGGGATGTTCCAAATGACTTATCCCAATAGAATTCACCAGGTTACTTCTCATGCATGCCTATGTTGGGACTATGTTGCCCTTACTTTGATTACTGGCCCAGTTAGCCGCATGACAGATTTTAAATTACAAAATCAGCATTTTGTGTCAACTGGAGGCAGATGCTAAGTTGCTGACCATATTTCCCTGAGGTGGGCCTTGCTGTGCGTTCACAGCCATTCCTGTTATCACTAACACCTTCTCCAGGTGGAAGGACGGGGCTGGAAGCGGAGGAGGTGGAGGGCAGGGGCGTCCCCTCCCATGCAGTGGTGTGACACTGTCATCAGTGTGTTCTTTATAATTAAAAGTTTAAGGGCTTGCTCAGAAAATAAACGCTTTTGGAGGATGAGAGGACCCGAAGCAAACCTCTCCAGGACTTAATGATATCAGCAAGAGCACAGGGATCTCAGCTGGATTCCTGATTGTCAGGAGGGTCAGGGCAAGGGACCCTTGGATGGATGTCAGGTCCCTGCCTAGTTTCTTTTGTTTTGTTATGCTCACTTCCCTTTTAAATTGTATTTCCCTTTCCTCTAAGGTAACTTAGCAGCCTTCTTTGCAAGCCATTTCCTCTTGGACCTGTAGGTGCAACTTTCACCTTCCAAATGCTGTTCCCAACAATGGTGTGGGCTCTCCAACCTGACCCTGCGGCCTAACCCACCCATCTAACCAAGGCTGCGCCCCTGGGCCCTTTCCTTCTCCTATCCCTTCTTTTCTCGCTCTGCTCCCTGCCCTCCCCCTCTTTTCCTCTCCCCTCCCCCTCCTCTCTCTTCCCTCCCCCTTCTCTCCTGTCCCCCTTGCACATTAAACCAAGCATCTGCCCCCTTTCAGCACGGCTCTAGCCGTGAACCCACCTGCCTGCCTGATCACCCTTCTCTTGATCACTCATTTTTTGTATTCAATATTAAACTGATTGTACAGTTAAAAATGAACTCCAGCACTCGGTGTGGAAGGGACACCAAAGTCTGCGGCTCCACTGCGGAGCTGGGCTGCAGCCCACGGTGTCCTGCATGAATCACGCGGTCTGGTTCCCTCACCCCGTGAGGCTTCCCGCCCACGCCCACGCAAGGCTGGGCTGTAACCCCCCTTTCCGTCCCAGGCCCCATGGGGAATGGCGCGACGGTGCAGGGCTGGCTGGCTGGGACCGTGGTGCTGCCCTGCCGCCTCCCGGAGCTGTCCACATCGCGGCTCGCGGCCCAAGCTGGCGGCGAGTCCCTGCGTGTCAAGTGGTCAAAGATCGAGGTGGACCGCAGCGGAAGAGACCTGAGGGAGACGACCGTGCTGGTGGCCCAGGACGGACACGTGAAGGTGGGGCCGGACTTCCAGGGCCGCGTGTCGGTGCCCTTGCAGCCCGCGACTGCGGGTGATGCGTCCCTGATCCTGGGCGCTCTGCGCGCCAGCGACGCGGGCCGGTACCGCTGTGACCTGCTGCTGGGAGTGGAGGACGCGCAGGCCACCGTGGCGCTGGCCGTGGATGGTGAGGACGGAGGGATGGGCGGGTGTGGTTTGAGGTCAAGCCTGGGCTTGAAGGCCTGGCCATGGGTATGGCCTGGGTGGATGTGGGCGGGACCACGAGGTATGGGCAGGGCCTAAGACCAGGTGGGGTGGCTGTGGGGTGTGGGCATGCCTTGGTGGGCGTGGCCTGTGAGGGGTGTGGCTGTGGGCCTGGCGCAGGGCCAGGCTTGGGGTGCTCTGCGGATGCTGGCACTGTGCTTGTCCATGCACTGTCCTGTACACAGGGCTCCTTGCACTGGCGGAGCTGTGTGACTGCAGCATGGTAGACATTCAAGTCCCTGGCCACTGTGAGAGCCAGTGCTGCTTATCCCTCTCCAGATCTCCCTGTCCGCCTGCCACACCCCGGGGTTCTTGCCATGTTCTTTTTTATTTTCATCTGTCCGTGTTTGAAGAACATGATTACGTTACTCAGAGGGAGTTGGTGCATGCATCTCAATATTTTTTGCTTTTCATCTCTTCTCCCTCTCTCCCCTTTCCTTTCACCTCTTGGTTCCTTCCCTATTTGCAAAACATGTCTCCCTGTTTCTTGTCACCTTTTATTTTGCTGTGTGCCAGCAAAATAGTTTATACTTTCAATTTCTCGCGTAAGAAAAACTGCAATTTAAGCTTGTATGTCTGTTTTACTTCACTTAACATTATGGCCTTAAGATGTATCCATTTTTCCCTCCCATGGCTCAGTTTATCCGTTTTTATGACAGAGTGGTACTCCATCATATATAAATGTCACACTTCCTTTACCCATTCTTATGCTGATGGGCAGGTAGACTGCATTCAAGATTGAGCTATTACGAGATTTTTCTGGAGTCTATTTTTGTGTTTTCAGTTGTACTGTCTGGCTGCCTAAGTCAATTGAGAACACTGCCCTTTTATGATCATTTTCACTTTGAGAAAGAGTCCCAAAGTCCCAGGGTGCCAGCCCTGGTGAATAGGTGGAGGAGGACACAGCCGCGTTGGTGAGAGGCTGCCTCCCCCTGGGTGGCTTTGCATAGCGCAGCCGTGGTGCTTTTGATCACATCTGGTAAAGGTACTCAGGAGAGGATTCCAGACTGCTGGGAAAGTGGCCAGAATGATGGGATACGTGTGTCCAAAGTGAGGGAGATGAGTTTCGAGGAGGATTCCTGCCACAGTGTCTTTTACTGTAATAAAAATTTTAAAAATGTAAACATTCATTGACTTTTTAAATGATACCTCTTACCGGAAATACCGAATACCTCAAAACATGGTGCTTGGTTTGGTAATCACTACTTCAGTGCTGAGATTCATTAATTAACCTGCAAGACTAAACATGCTGATCTACATTTTGTTTTACTTTTCCATACGTGTGTCTGTCCCTGTGTGACGAATACACATCTATACATATATTTACACATTGCATTCCGCTACTGGTTATTACAATCTTTGCATTTACTTTTATGTAAATTTCATCTTAAGGTTTATCAACCCGTAAGATCCTTAATAAATACCAGAGTACCTACTGTACTCTTTAAAAGTGTCTTTAGAGTAGCCAGGACTCAATAAATATTTAAATGGATTCAAAGCAAGACCTCAGTTAAAAAATTTCCAGGTTAATACACCAGTTTTTATCCACTGGGTCTTGCAGTGAGAAATGTTAGTTTACCCCCATTCAGCGGTGGTTTATGTCAGTTGAATTTAAGTTGGGAGACAAAGCAAGGAAAATTGCTTTAATTGGGCACAGACATAATGCCACAGTGCTTGGAAGCCAAAAGTCTTGGCAAGTTATTAAGCAGAATTCTAAAGCCAGACATGATGGGACAGATTTTCTTATAACCCTCCATTTTCCTATAAAATATTTACCTCTCAGAAATATATACACAGGATTCTGTTGAAACTCTTTCTTGTTTAGCCAAAAGGAAATACTCTGAATTTCAGATGTGACCAAGTCATTTACTGAGCATCGTTTTAAGTTCAGATCCGACTGCGCCTCTCTGTCTATCTAGTTTTATGCCATCCGGGTATCTACTAAACTTCCTGGCTTCTTCTAACCTTTTCAACCTTCACTTTAGTTACCTAAGATTGCAGTACTGTGTGATGTAGTTCTCTCTTTTAAAAATTCCCCAAGGAGTTGAACAACACTTTACAAATTTTCATCATTAAAGAATCAGCAGTGGTTTTGCCCCTTGTCCCTCTGAAACAATGCAAATTCTCCACTTAATCTCCTTAGCCCCAGGGTGTCTTCAGATTACTCCAGCCACTGCAGTTACTTAGCCAGAGCGATGTCCCCTGCCTTGGTCTAGGTCTAGACCCCTCTGTTCCTTTTAGTAACAGTCTTCAGTGCTCATGGGGGCTTTTTAATCACCAAAAAGAGTATTGGAAACTTTGGTCAATACGGAACTGACCAAAAACCAAGAAGATTCTCGCATGGGCATCACAGTCATTTTCATCTGCTTCTCATACTTACTGGATGGTATGACACACACTTTCTGGCAAAATTAGAGAGGATCTGTAGAGGTGGAAATAGGTGCCTGGTGATTATTTTGTCATAGAAGATCAGAAAAGAGCAAATAGATGTGAGTTGCAGTGTGTCCACTCGGGGGCCACACAGGACTTCCTGTGCTGATATGGACCACAGGGGCTGACCTCTGAGACGCTGATCTGTCCCCTACAGACACACACCTGTCTTGGTAGAAAGAGACAGTCTGAGAGCGTGGCTATGTGGCAGACAGCCTGATAGTCAGAAGGCAGGCTGGGAAGACAGCCTGCTGGAAAACCCCCAGAAACTATTAGGAATAAAAAAGAGGAGAGTAACATGTATTTCAGATGCCTGAAAGATGACAGCGAAAACAACAAAAAATTTTTTCACTGATGTGATTCAATAAAACTTCATCCATAAGGCCCAGTTGCTTCAATTTCCATTTTCTGGTGATTTCTGTGGCATGTTTAGACCCACTTTGATGTCTTGTAGAATGAGTCCTGTTATTTACCATAGAAACAGAAATTGTTTTCTTGAATGGAAACAGAGGCCAGGCATCAAAACTCCACCCTGTGCTTCCTTCACCCACTCAACAACTCCCTGAGCCCTGAGTACAGGTCAGAACCTATATTCAGCTTACAAGTTGGTGGGCAGAATTGGAGGCAAGATCCAAAACACTTCACTTCTACTCAGGAGGGCTGGAGTGATTTATTTCAGGCCTTCTTTGGCATATAGATGTGAAATTTCATCTGTTCTAGCAGAGACCCTAACTTATACTAGCTGAACAACAAAAATGATAAAATTTGGGTAATAGCTAGTTGCCTAGCCAGCATTTCATCCTTTACCTAATAGGATGTTTAGATCCGTTAAGTAATCAGTAATTTTTAGCTCTTTTATGGGTGAGGAAATTAAACTTTGAAAGCTTGACTTGGAACAAATTAGTGTTGGAAAAAGCCTTTCCTATAAGGTACAGTCTGTGTCCCTTCCACCCCAGTGTACTCCTGGGAGAGTAGGGCTCCTTTGTTTCATGGTTGGTGGAAGTGGCCTTAGTAGCTGTGTCACAGGATGGGTCACTTTTTTCCCTCATTTGAGCTGGCCCTGGGGAACATGATGAAGTAGGAGGTACTGGCTTCATGGATCCCTAACCCTCTGCATTTCTACCAAACCCGCTCTAGTTAGATGCTCCACGTGCCCGAGAAGGCCCAAGTGCTGCTTCTGTTTAGGACAGCAGTCTCACACTGGGGTTTAGTGTCTTTTGTCTTTTTGGGTTGTGTACGAGTTAACAGAAAATTCCCAGCTGGAAAATGTTCAAATAGAGCAGTGTGGGATGCGTAGGTGAAGGGGGTTTGGGGAGATCCCTAAGGGAACACGATTTCTGTGCAATAAAATGATTATGATGGTATCATGACTGTCTCTAGTTGGTTTGCTGTGTGGCTGCAGTGAGAAGTTTTGCACGATCCGGAGGAAACTGCCTGACGCCCTTGTCATGGTTTGCTCTTGTGTTTGCAGGGGTTGTGTTTCACTACAGGGCGGCAACCAGCAGATACACACTGAACTTTGAGGCTGCCCAGAAGGCTTGTGTCGACATCGGGGCTGTCATAGCCACCCCAGAGCAGCTCTTTGCTGCCTATGAAGACGGTTTTGAGCAGTGTGACGCCGGCTGGCTGTCTGATCAGACTGTGAGGTGAGCGTTCCCGGGGCCCACATGCTGTCTGTCAGTCATCCCTGGGGAATGAGAAGGCAGTGGCACTTACTAACCCTCCATGTCCCCAGGTACCCTATCCGAGTTCCCCGAGAAGGCTGCTTTGGAGACATGATGGGGAAGGAAGGAGTCAGGACCTATGGGTTCCGTTCCCCTCTGGAAACTTACGATGTGTACTGTTACGTGGATCATCTGGATGGTGAGATGTCTAAGTTTCTGTCACTTCGCTGGAACTAGGAAAATGGGGAAAGCCCCGGGGTGGATGGGGATTGAGCCAGTCTGCGGACTTGTTTGGGCCCCACACAGGAGCACTTTGCTGCGATGACTGTATGATTTTGTGGTAAAAGAAGCTTAAAGGAGAAACCAAAGGAGGCGTGTGTGCGTTGCTCTGTGGGTTGGAGATGCCCTGGCTTAATGGCAGGTTTTCCTACCGCACCGCTCCTGGGCTGCTTCCAGAACACGTTTAGAGTGTTCAGAATAGAAACTCTAAAGGTGGCTCCTATTCTGGTGAGGACTCCAGATAAAAACTCTGCGGTGGCAAACCATTGTGCGTCCAGGTGTGAGTAAACACCCCAAGACTCAGCTCCAGGCCTCCTTAGCAGGAGACAATGCCGACTTCTCACCTGTTCACATCCTCGCATTGGTATTCTGAGCACTCATTCATTTATTCATTTATTGAACCACGCAGTGCATGAAGCTAAGCCACGTATTAAAAATGCATTAAAAAATACCCACTGCATGGTGGTACCCTGCAAGTGTGAAGCTAGCTGAGGTAAAGCCCTCTCATGAAGATGCTTAGCATCTGATGGATTTGAGGTCTTTCTGCCCCCAGCCTGAGTCAGAGGTTCTGAAGATAAGTTTGGGTTCAGTAGGGCCCCTTTATTTAACAAACATCATGTGTGTGGAAAGCACATACAATTCGAGTTTCTATGAGTTTTAGGGAGGAATTTTCAGATATCCCAGAAACCTAAATACATATGTAATATTACATTGAGTTCTACTTTCAATTTTGACTAGGTACACAAATAAAGAATTCTGTCAAATTGTTTGTGCATAAATTAAGAATATTGGACTGGATAATTTTTTGATACCTTCCAACTTTAAAATCTTTTTTTAACTTTATATTTTTATTAGCCTATCTTTATATATCTAACGATTAGATGCATTGTGGTAAGATGGTATGTGACTCTTTCTCCTTTTTTCTCCCTTCTCTCTGTCTCTTGGTCCTCTTCTGAATTCCAAAATACTGTCTCCCTTTTTAACATTCTGCAATCTAGTTTATTTGTCGTTGGTTTATTTGGGTTTTGCTTTGTTGAGGTAGGAATTTCACTCTGTTGGGCTGACCGGTCTCACACTCCTGGGCTCATGTGATCCTCTTGCCTTAGCCTCCTGAATAGCCAGGACTGCAGATGCACACCACCATGCCTGGCCCGGGGTTCTAGAATTCTGTCAGTACAATGAAGGATCCTGGTACCTAAAAGCTAGAATATTAGCAGCTTGTATTTTTCTCATGCCTTGACTAGTTTAAGGGTGTAGACTCCTCAACTTCAGAATTCTTTCAAGACCAGAGAAGGTTTTGGTTGAAGACCCAGACACTTCTGTCCCTATGTAAGTATTGCTTAAAAGTCTCTATGGTGGAAATCCTGCCAGGGAGCCTTTAGCCATAGTGTACCCACTGAGAGCTGGTCCTTTCGTGTCTGCTGAGTGCAGTAACCAGGGTCCTGGAATTAGGCCTTCAGAACTGTGAGATTGTGAGCAAAGTCCAGAGCAGAGGATTCACTGGTCTCAACAGAAGTCCCTTCCCACCTCCAAATGTTCCGTGTAAAATCAGTCTCCGCTCCAGTGTAACCCAATTCTGCATGAGATTACTTGGCATGAATGTTCCTCATATTTGATATCTGAAAACTTGTAATGTGGAATGTGCCATAACAAATGCAGCAGAATTCAAAACTTTTGTTTCAGTACATAAAAGTTGGAAGAGAAAGAGAAAAACAATAAGCATGACTCCTACATTGGCCACTGGTTTAAATTGGTGTCAGCAAAATAACAAGCTTTTGTTTGTTTCACAGAGAAAGTTTGGCAATTCTGGGGAATATTCAGAAGGCTGATGATGTCACTGATCTAGAAATCTTTCCTTTCTTGTCTCTTGGCCCTTGCAATAGTTAGTGAGTCTGTGGACGCTGTGCTTTCCTCTGCTGACTTGATATTGGGCTGGGATGGAGCTAAAGAGAACTTTTATGACTGGTGATATAAGTGGAGGATCACGGACCCTTCTGATAAGGTTCTCTCATTTCTTTAGTGAATTATATGTCTTCACGTTGAAGTAATAACTATTGACTAAACTGTGAATGGATGACAATTCTGTGGGAAGTTGAATGCACAAAATTACATCTAGTAGTTCGCTTGTCACATTAATAAAAGATTATCTGGAGCTGATCCCAAATTCCTCACAAAAGATTTACATCCATTGCTGTATTTGTAGGTCTAGTAATTTCCGTCAATATTTTATTGCATTTTTGGGAGCCAAGTGCATATGCCTAAGAGATGGCGAAGGCAGTAAAAACCAATGTCCATGCACTCAGAATAGATGGAAATGGCACAGGAGTTATGAGCTGGTGTACACTTGCTTCAGATCAGAAGCTGCGTATTCCAGATGGTCTAGTGAAAAAGTCAGGTAATTATAAAATAAAACCCTGCCCGAAAAGGTCATTAATTTTCTGTTTTAATTTGTCATGAAAAAATATTTAGGTGACAGAATGTCGACTTGTTTTTTTTCCTTTCTTGTTTTATAATTTCATATTTGACATAAGTATTTTATATAAAATTAAAATAATTTACCTTAAATTAAAGCTAGCCAGTTTTCTGGTGTGCTTTTCCTAAGGAAATGGCTGTAGCTTCTTTCTGCATAAGAGTGCCATGTTTAATTCTATTTTAAGCTATAACCCACCAAATGTAAAAGAGCAGTGGCATCAGCTACATACACCAGGAGCACTGCAGTGTCAGCCCGTGTTGTTTGAAGTGTTTTTAGAGGTTACTGGACACGAGTCTGCAAGTGGACACTGTTGTTAATAAATTAATGGAATTAGGATTCTAAAACGGGAACACAGACGTCAACATCCATAAAATGTTTCCTATTAGGGAGCTGAATTAATGTTTCCCATTAAGTAGATTTGGAAAACGTTGAGATCGCTTTAGAACGGAGATGATTAAATGGTTCAGAAAATCAGATTGTAATTGCAGACCTGCTTTGAGGGACGACGGAATTGCATCTCAGCAAACGCACCATGCGTCTGCGATGCATCTCACACGTCTGCACCCCTAAAGCTCAAAGTTTAGCCACACGTGAGGCACAGGATATCTGATCACGAGGCTGAGGAGGCGGGGCAGTTTGCTGCTGACGCCTGGCATTAGGAAGAAACAAAATTCAAAATTGCAAGCATGGTTCCTTCAGAAACCATACTGCTGTTTCGCCTTCGTGAAGTCTGGAAGTCGCCGATAGAGCCACAGTCCATTTGGGATGAGAATATCTAGGAAGGGTAAGGGCAGCGCCTAGGCATTCTGCCTGCTGGTACCAATGGGAAGCACCTCACTCCAGCTCTTCCCTTTCCTCCTGGTGAGACCCTGGGCAAAGTTTACCTCTGGGAGCTCCACTTTCCTCCCCGGCGAAATGAGTAAATAATTTAGTAAATAATGGCTGTTATGAGCTTTGGGGTGTAAGACAGGTCCTTTCCCCCAGTGAGCTCACAAGAGCAACTCAGTGAAACAGCAAAACACAACAGCAAAATTCTTCTGACAGTGCATGGTTTTAAATATTGGAAGAAAACTAGGAAGCTATAGGGAAGCTTCTTCCCTAGAGGTTTCTAAAAAATAGGATCCCTCCGAGGTGTTCCGAGTTCAATACTCTAAATTAACGATGCTTTTGAAAGATATAGAGAGTAAGTGGGAATCAGAATTTTTTGCAGAAGCATCAGTTTTTATTCTTTTGGTACTGGGAATCGAACTCACAACCTTGCACTTGCCAGGCAGGCGCTGTGCCTTTGAGCTATCTACCCAACCCAGAAAGGTCATTTTGAATGTGATTACTTAATGCTTGAACATTATTGAATAATTAAAAATGACACTGGAAAAATAAAAACTCCTAATTGTTACTCCTAAATGGGTTGAAAGTTTCTTCCAGATGAGAACATTAGCTTTCCCAGGTGGGGTTCGGAAGTAGTCTGAGGTCTAACTCCGCACAGCATCTTGACACATAAACAAGCCCATTCTCGGAGTTGGGGCATTTCAAAACCTCAGAAAGGATTTTGGAATTCATGTGCCTCTCCGATAGCTATATTCACTACAAAAAGATTCTTAAATAAGGCACACAAGATGGATTAGAAAGAATAAGACTGTATAATGTAAATACTTCAGTTTAAAAAGCACATCAGACTTAAGAAAACAAACAACAAACCATCCAGTTTCTTTTCAATGAAATTGATAGATTGACTATTTATTTAGTGTCCTTCTGTTTTAAGAACTTGAAAGAAACAGGTTACAGGCATCTTGTCCTCCCAGCAAATAAATCAGGGGTTTCTGGCTGAGGTCCTGCTGTTCCCTCTCATGGCTGACCTACTTAGATCCCTTGAGAAAGAGCCAGCACTGCCAGTCTTGTGCCCAGACCTGACGCGTGGTCAATCTCAGGGCTCCTCTCCCTGTCACCTTGGAGACCCAATCCTATCCCCTTATGGGCCATATTTGCTATGCAGTTTGCACTTTGACTTTTATTTCACCTAGATCAGTGATGGCGAACCTTTGAGAGCTTTCAGTGGTGACACACACCTGCAGTAGGTCCGCCACCAGCGACCTAGATTATGCTCTACTGTTGCAGTCCACTGGCTTCTACGCCCTGATAGGACTGTGCTGTGGGCTGTCTTTCACCCCTTGTGCCTTTCAAGTCCTGGTTGATTGCTTTCACCTGTACCGTCTCTAACCTCGAATGTAGGTCTGTAATCACCTTCTTGCCCTGTTATTTGCCACACTTCCCTCTCTTCTAAGAGAGAGGGACCCATGCAAATCCACGTTTGGATCTACAGCATGCTTTTGGCCTACAGTGGTCCTCCATAGGTGGAACTGAACACAATTCCTTGGCTTCAGTTTCCTTCCTAGATTCCTTAATTTCATTTTTGTTCTTTTTAATAGAAATATTAAGTCAAAATATCT